TCGCCCTGGATTTTTTCGAATTCGATCTTTTATTATACCGTTTCATTAGATCCGGTGTTTTCACAAATTTCGTTTTCCAATGTTCCAACATTCTCTATCTATCTCTACACATCTATCTATCTATCTCCGTTTTTACTTCGTCCAACTCTTGCTAAGCAAAAGAAAAAGAAAATGGAATATATATATCGTAAAACCGTGGGAAACGAAGAGAGAGAGAAAACGGGGTGAATGGATCACGCGCGGGTCGGCGACGTTGATCGGTGGGCGTGTGGTGTTTTCCAGGNAATTTGCCCAAATTATAAAAAATATATATATATATATACATATGACAATATCATTGCCAAGTTAGAAATCGTGTTAATGAAAGGAAATTTTTCAGACCGATACTTTCATCCAGTGCACACGAGCAGCGTGGTGGACAAGAGCGGGGCCGGTAACTTGATGGGGACGGATCTGGGCGTGGCCACCGATCCCACCTCGCACCACCATCAACAGGCCCAACAGCAGCAGCAACAACAGCAACAGCAGCAGCAGCAGCAGCAACAACAACAACAACAACAACAACAAGCTCAAGCTCAACAACCGCCTCAACAAGCTGGCCAACAACAGCAACAGCAGCAGCAACAAGTGATGCAGGACAAGAGCGGAAGACCCAAGTCTCCCCCGTGACACTGGAGGCTTAGAGCGGATAGCGTGGAGAAGCTCGCGTGTTCCACGGGGTCGTTACTCACCGGCGCGTACGATAATTGTTATTCTGAGCCGGATGGGAATCGTCAGGATTCCTCGTGTCGTGTTCAGCTTCGCGACCTAAGCCTGCGGAGAATCGAGTGCCTGAGAGTCTGATCGTAGTTTAAGAAGGGGGTTTTAGTGAGGGCAGCGTCGAGGGGGGCCGAACCCTCGCCAAGGGATTCAAGGGGGCGAGTTGTTTCTTCTTCGTTCCTCGCCTAGGATCGGTGCCTTTCCATCGCTTTACAAAGTCATCTTTCTTCCTTTCTCTCTCTTCTTATCTCTAGCGAAGAATTGATTTTTAATATTAATTGGTCTTGTTGTAAAAAGAAAAGGAGAATGGAGAATTTTAAAAAATTTTATTACGTTGTATGTAAATAGATCCTTTAAGGATAAGGAAGGATTCTTTTTTTTTAATTTTTTCCGCGAAAAGGGAAAGGCTCCGCCCTTGAAGGAGGGGATTTCGGTCAATTATCACTTCCGCGCCACCGGAAGCGTCCGGTTCTCCTCTCTCGACGCGCTGTTAATTTCTGACTCTTTCTCTCTCTCTCTCTTTCTCTATCTCTCTATCTTTGTATCTATCTATCTATCTCTTTCTCTCTCTCTCTCTCTCTTTCGAGTGTCCTCGACGGACGTGAGTAAGGACCCCTCATCTCGTCTCCTAATTAAGAAATCGTCTCCCGATCATCGCCGATCGGTCCGTTTCGACCGATGATAAATAATATAATAATATAATAATAATAATAATGATAAAATAATAATGATAATGATAATAATAATAATCCGTAGACAATTTAAATTTTGAAAGAAAGAAACGAGGAGAAAGAAAGGAAAGCGGCGAGAAAAGAGCGCGAACGTGGAAAAAAAGGGAAAGGAGGGAAAGTAGTACCGAAGTGTGTGTACAGTTTTCCCGCGCGATTTTATAAAAACGACCGTCTGTTTCCTAATAATTATTATCCGCTTTCGAGATTATCCCTTCCGAAACGTGTGTTTTTTGTATATATACACGCTCGTGGTATAATTTTGTAAAATTATAAATGGGTACGTGTAGATCTAGTCTACGAAGGGAGGAAAAAAGAGGAAAAAAAAGAAAAAAAAAAAAAAAAAAAGAGAGGGAAAGAAAGAAAAAAAAAAGGAAAAAAAAAAAAAAAAAAAAGAAAAAAAAAAAAAAAAAAAGAGAGGGAAAGAAAGAAAAAAAAAAGGAAAAAAAAAAAAAAAAAAAAAGAAAAAAAAACGTAATTTGCTGCGCTCTTCTTCGAGGAGAAGGATTAAACGACGAAGCAAAGAGATTGAGGAAAAGAATAATAATAATAATAATAATAATAATAATAACAATAATATTAATAATATTAATAATAATAATAATAATAATAATAATAATAATAATATTAATAATAATAAATAAAAGGAAAAAAAAAAAAAGAAGGAGAAATTTCTAGTGCCAATCTCGTAGTTTATAAATATTATAACGAAATTATAATTTTCTATTATATTTTTTTATAATATTTATGAAGGAACACAGACACGTATACACGCGTACACATGCTTATTTAGACGACACGTAAAAAATAGTCGAAATAAAGACAAAAAAGAAAAGGAAATGCTTTTCCATTTCGATGATCGAGAGAAGTGTGAACATTTAAAAAAGGAAAGGAAAAAAAAAAGAGAGAAAAAGGAAAAATACTGACGAGTAAGAAGAGAAAAATGAGGAAGAAGAAGAAGAAGAAGAAGGGTCGAGGGGATCCGATCGGTCGAGTATCGGTCAAAACGGAAGTTAACCGGTCCACGAACCACGGATAATAATAATAATAATAATAATATTAATAATAATAATAATAAATTATAATATTAAATATATAATAACGATAATTGATAACTTTATAATAATTGTATCGTTAAATTAATCGCCTAATGCTCAGGCTAGTGCTAACACTAGTGAAAAAAGAAAATACAGAGGGGAAAAACGAAAAAGTAGAGAGAACGACTAGTTGTTGCGGGCTAGTCAACAGAGGCTGCTAGTTAGAAACAAAGTGAATAATATTTAATATTGATTACTATTGATAAAGTTAAGCGGTTAAAAAAAAA